CAAGTTCGGCCATCTGGGAGGGGCTCAGAGTAGAGCCGCTGCTGCTCCACATCGAAAGGAGCCAGCTGAGGTGGTTCGGGCATCTGACAAGGATGCCTCCTGGGCGCCTCCTGGGTGAGGTGTTCCAGGCATGTCCCACCGGGAGGAGGCCCCGGGGCAGACCGCAGGACACGCTGAGAGATTATATCTCTCGGCTGGCCTGGGAACGCCTTGGTGTTCCCCCGAGACAAGCTGAGGAGGTGGCTGGGGAGAGGGAGGTCTGGGCTTCTCCGCTGGTATAAAGCGGAAGAAGATGGATGGCTTTTAAAACATGAGGTTATTATAAAATGAGGTTGATACATGAGGAATCGTGGCTACAAGATCATTCTGGTACCAAACTTATGCTGACCACCCACATGTTCCACAAGCAGATAGGACAATAAATGTTGAACTTTTTGAGCAGATTTTTGTTTGTTTGTTTTTTCCGTCTCAGTGTCCCTTCCTTCTCCACAAAACCTGATGGAGGTGGAGGTTCCTGTTGTGGGAAACAGGCAGTGTAACTGTGACTATGGAGTGGGATCAATCACTGACAACATGATCTGTGCCGGGTTAAGTGCAGGAGGAAAGGACTCCTGTCAGGTGATTGTTGTTACCTGTGTTTGGCACATTTTCACCTTCTACAGTTTCTTCTCCTCAGCTAACAGTAAATGTTTCTGCTCTCAAAGGGAGATTCAGGAGGTCCAATGGTGAGCAAGCAGAGCGGTCGCTGGATTCAGGCGGGAGTCGTCAGTTTTGGGGAAGGTTGTGCCAGGCCGAATCAAGGTGAAAATGTGCCAAACACAGGTAACAACAATCACCTGACAGGAGTCCTTTCCTCCTGCACTTAACCCGGCACAGATCATGTTGTCAGTGATTGATCCCACTCCATAGTTACAGTTACACTGCCTGTTTCCCACAACAGGAACCTCCACCTCCATCAGGTTTTGTGGAGAAGGAAGGGACACTGAGACGGACAAAAACAAACAAACAAAAATCTGCTCAAAAAGTTCAACATTTATTGTCCTATCTGCTTGTGGAACATGTGGGTGGTCAGCATAAGTTTGGTACCAGAATGATCTTGTAGCCACGATTCCTCATGTATCAACCTCATTTTATAATAACCTCATGTTTTAAAAGCCATCCATCTTCTTCCGCTTTATACCAGCGGAGAAGCCCAGACCTCCCTCTCCCCAGCCACCTCCTCTAGCTTGTCTGGGGGAACACCAAGGCGTTCCCAGGCCAGCCGAGAGATATAATCTCTCAAGCGTGTCGTGCGTCTGCCCTGGGGCCTCCTCCCGGTGGCACATGCCCGGTACACCTCCCCATAAGGAGCCCAGGAGGCATCCTTGTCAGATTCCCGAACCACCTCAGCTGGCTCCTTTCGATGTGGAGTAGCAGCGGCTCTACTCTGAGCCCCTCCCAGATGGCCGAACTTGTCACCCTATCTCTAAGGGAGAGGCCAGCCACCCTTCGGAGGAAGCTCATTTCCAACGCTTGTATCCGCTCTCTCATTCTTTCGGTCGTGACCATAGGTGAGAGTAGGGACGTAGATCGACCGGTAAATTGAGAGTTTTGCTTTTAAGCTCAGCTCGTTCTTCACCACGAGGGACTGATGCAGCGAGACCCCAAGATACTCAAACTCCTCCACTTGAGGCAGGAACTCATCTCTGACCCGGCGTGGGCACTTCACCCTTTTCCGGATAAGAACCATGGCCTCAGATTTGGAGGTGCTGATCCTCAATCCCGCTGCTTCACACTCAGCTGCAAACCATTCCAGCGCGAGCTGGAGGCCGTTACCCATTGAAGCCAACAGAACCACATATCTACGGAAAGCATAGTTGAGATTCTGAGGCCACCGAAGTGAAAGCCCTCCGCCACTTGGCTGCACCTAGAAATTCTATCCATAAAAGTTATGAACAGAATCGGTGACAAAGGGCAGCCCTGGAGAAGCCCATCACCCACTGGGAACGAGTCCAACTTATTGCCGGCTATGCGAACCAAGCTCTTGCAACGGTTGTATAGGGATTGAATGACCCGTAGCAATGGGCCAGACACGGTCGAATGCCTTCTCCAAGTCCACAAAACACATGTAGACTGGTTGGGCAAACACCCATGCACCCTCGAGTATCCTTGAGAGGATAAAGAGCTGGTCCAGTGTTCCGTGACCAGGACGAAAACCGCATTGCTCTTCCTGTATCCAAGGTTCCAGCACCCTGGCATAAACTTTCCCGGGGAGGCTGAGGAGTGTGATCCCCCTGTAGTTGGAACACACCCTCCGGTCCCCCTTGCTAAAAATTGGAACTACCACCCCGGTCTGCCAGTCCAGGGGTAACCGCCTGTGGCGGAGGCGTGGCCCCGGGCGCAGCTGCAGGGGAGGAGTGGAGCGGAAGGCTCAACAGGGCGGCGCTGCAAGGCCGGTAAGAACAGCTGATGTTGTTTATGGACTGATGATGGTCTCCCTCCGCTGTGTTTATAGTGAGACGAGGAGGAGCGGCCAGGGAGAGATCAGCTGGGCTCGTGAGTACAGAGTACAACGAAATTGGAGTGCCACTCCCTTGGTGCAAGATAAATAATAAATATAAATGTAAAATATAAAAAGTACAATAAAATAATCGTAAGTACTCAAACAATAGTAAGTACGATATATACAGGATAGCAGCATTAATATAATGACAGTATGAATAGCAGCATAATATAATGACAGTGACGGTATGGAATAGGTTCAATTGTTTTTGTGCTTATTTACTACGGTGATAGCTCTGGGAAAGAAGCTATCCCTGAATCTGTTTGTCCTGGTTTTATGTGACCTGTACCGTCGGCCTGACGGTAATAGTTCAAACAGTTGGTTGCTGGGGTGAGAGTGGTCCTTGATGATATTGCCAGCTCTGCTGAGGTACCGAGAGTTTGCAGTGACCTCCAGGCTGGGCAGAGAGCAGCCAGTGATCTTCTGGGCTGTGTTGATGACCCTCTGCAGTACTTTCCTGTCTGCTACAGAAGTCTTTGCTGTAAACAGGTTGAGAGAGTGGTGGGAAAAAAACTAATGAAACTTGATCAAAACCCATCATTAAATTTAAGAGCGGTCCATCGTAGTTCCTGACAAATGCACAGGAGATGGTGTTAGTTCGAAATGAACTACTAACCACACTGTTAATGCTTAATACTTCAATTAGTCACAGTCATGATACTGAGAACCTTCACAGCTAAACATATTTTCTTAATATTGTATTGGTGGTAGAGTGTCTTTTTTCAGGTCGATTTCATGTTAAAAAGCACCAAATCACAACAACAGTACACATCAAGCACTTGGCAAAATGGGAAGGAAAACTTAAACAGAAAGAAACTCCAGCAGACACCAGGTCAGTAGCGTGGGAGGTGAAAGGAGTGAATAAGACAGGACAAAGACACACGGTGGAAGAGAGCCAGAGATTAAGAATAACTAATAATTAAATGCAGAGAGGTGTGTAGACACAGAGTGAGTGAAAAATTCACAACCACTGGTGCCGTCGTTGATTGGGTATCAATTAATTGACCCCTCTCCATATGAAAAATGGGGCCAGCCCAGGACTACCAAGGTGTACCTAATGAAGAGGCCAGTGAAGCGAGTGTAAGTCATTCCCTAGTTAAAATGCCAGTTACTCAATTATTGTTCAAAAGGTTGAGTGTGTAGACTACACAAATGGTAAAACAACATTACCCTGAAAGATTTTTGTGAGTTATTGGTTTCAGTGCTATCAAACTCCAACTTCACCTCGAAAGATGCAGCGATGTGTTCCCCTGAGTAAGAGACGCTTTTTGTCTTTTCTCTGAGAATTCCTGTTCTTTCTCATCTTTCATTGATCTTCGTAAAATCAAAATTAGAATTAAATTTAAAATTTTAACATCTGCGGAAGCTCCTGAGGATGTTTTACCAGTCGGTGGTTGCTGGAGTACTTTTCATGCTGTGGTGTGCTGGGGGAGCAGCACAGCAAAGAAGGACTCATCCAGGCTGGAAAAACTGATCAGGAAGGCTGCTCTGTGGTCGGCATGAAGCTGGACACTCTGGTGACAGTGGCAGAGAAAAGGACACTAAAAAACTGCTGGACATTATGGACAATGCTGGGCATCCTCTGCACACGGCCATAAACAACCAGAGGAGTCTGTTCAGTGACAGGTTGCTTCTAAAGCAAGAACAACAGACTTAAAAACTCCTTTGTCCCACACGCCATCAGACTGTTTAACTCCTCTCTGGAGGGGAGGAACCGGGGACAAAGGAGGGGGGAACAATAAGCTGTAGTGCCTTTTCACTGTGCAATAGTTTTTGTTAATATACCAACGGTGCAATAGACTATCAATACTTGAAATGTGCCTTCCCTTGTATTCTTATTCCTATTTATTCTATTTATCCCTTTTGTACTATTTATATTCTCTGTATTTATATATGTGTATATATGGATATTCTGCTCACATTCTGCAACTTCTGTGGTGCTGTGCTACTTTGGAAACTGAATTTCCCGAGAGGAATCCACCC